ATATATACTGTATATATTTTTTAATCTTTCTTATACATTGGCATTTTGTAGAAAATTGTATTGACGTTGTAATTTGTACTTGACATTGTTATTGATTGATTTTTTTTTTTAATGTACTAATATTCATCTCAGTATATTCCATCCGGAACTGTGCAGGGAATATTTTTACTTTTAGTTGAAAGTGTTGTTTTGGTTCAACCGTTACCTGAGTCCATATAATGATATTAACTATTTTCTTGACATCTAGATTTTATTGGAAAACTATACATGGAGAGGCGTGTTCCTTTGGATCGCTGCAATGAATTTACATAAATGCATATCAGCTTGCCTGGTTTCCTCTAAATTTGGCTGCGAAGATACGGAAAGCATTACATCTTTTAAAGATTTAAAGAAAAATACACTTCAGTTGGACATATTTAAAGATACTCGTTTTGTAGCCTTGTGTTTTGTCACTTTCAATATTGGTATTTGTGAAATGATATATTTCTTGGAGGCTATACCGTTAGCAAGAGAAAGTAGCATTGGCCACCTTGATTCAACTTTTATAATGACAATTTTCACTGCAGGAAGCATTATCTGCAGATTTATACAATGCGTACTACCTGGAAAAAGCACTCGGTTTTTATTGAATCTTTTTGTTTTTTCGCAATGTATTGAAGCAGTATCGTTCTATATGCTGTCTTTGGCACGCGGGTATTGGGCGTTCGCTGTAGCATCATTTATACATGGCACAGGTGCTGGACTACAATGGAGTCTCTTATATTACTTCTCAGCAAAACTATTCAACCTGCGTAAATCCACAGTTGCAGTTGCTTGGTGCGCGACAATTGCAGGGATAGCAGAAACCACGGGGGCAATACAAAGTAAAGTAGGCCTATATTTTATGACAAAATAATCAAAATGATTTTAAATTTAGCGATTTATTTTTTAGGCCTAAATATCCATAAGTTAAATCATATTCTCTCCTTAAGACTGATTTTCATAAAATTGCTACATTGTCGACCATACAGCGTTGTCACTGCAATCGTTGAACTACGTAGTTGTACCCGACGGAATCGGGAAGGTTCCCCGATTTGACCGAAAGGATTCGGCTGGCGTAGCAATTTTATGGAAACCACGTTTTACATTAAGTTAACAGAGCCATCGCTTTCTGGACAATTCTATAGAACCAAGTTTCATTCTGAAGCGTAGGACAGAAACTTGTTTAGCCGTCACTAAAAAAGTTAGATTGGTTACACCAAACGGACGGCTCGACTGAATAAAGACGATAGAAATTAAGCCTATAACTGACAAATCTTAAAATATTTGTTGCCTATTTTGAACTACATTGTAACACTTTGAAGATAGGCCTACGGAGTATCTCCTGTTGCTAAAAGTGATGTTTTATAAAAATTGTGTTTTTGCAGATTTGGTGAAGAAGGAAAGCTACCGTATTGATTTTGAAGTAGGTGCTGTATTTGAAACACTTTCTCTCATACCTTGTATTTACGTTTGGAAAACCTACACAGATTCACCATAGGACGTGTTAAGACTTCATCTTCAAGAAGAATACATTTATAGACAGTCTTATTTTAATTATAAATAGGCCTACCAGATTTATGATTTAATGATAAGCGTATTATATTGAATGATTTAAACATGGAAATGTAAAATACAAAAATATATTTAGTTTAAATATACAAATACGAAGGAGCAATAAAACAAAATACATCATTGGCTCGTGTATAATGTGACGTCCATGCTTTCGTTATTACTAAATGCCAAAGCATTTTTTTAAACACAATCGATACAATCTGACTGAGTCTGAATAATCTTTTAAATGTTAATCTTAAGTTTAATTTTATATTCATTAATGACGTAAATGATGATTTGTCCAATCTTAAAATAGATAAAGCTACGGCTTTGAATGGGATCAGCCCAAAGCTCCTTAACGCAGCTGCACCATGCAAAACAATTTGCTAAAATTTCTAATTATTCTATTGCTCATGGTAAGGTCCCATCTGAGTCTCCTGAGTATATATGTATATAAAATCTACATTTAAAAAAATGTATACAAAAACCCCAAAACTCATCAATATATATCTAAATTCAATTATTATGCTTAAAATGAGGGTTATGATGATGGTAATTAAAATCTTAATTATTTTCTATATAGTAATTTAAATTTATATTATAGTGCATTTTCTTTGCTTTGTTGTTTTCCTCCTCCACATCGCACGGAGAGCGACATCACAGTTTAAATTTAATTTACTTTCTTTGTTTAATCCCGCCGGCCCCTGTGATGTGAAGAATCAGGGACCAACATTCTTTGTATCTTTATTGTTTTTCCGACTGCTTTATCTTTTATATTGTATACGGCAAAATAAATGAAATGAATGGAAGCTTGATAAGGTTAACCTTATACAAAAAGATTCACAAATTATCTCATATCGGCCTAGAAGACGTGGTCCAGCCCTATATCATTTTAGAGTTACCTGTGTTAGTGGACCTACAGTGACCAAATATTTGAACTCCATTTTCAAATTTCAGTCCAATCACTTGTGGTGTTCCTCGGGGTTCTTTTGTTACCTTCGCGCCTCCTTAATTTTATATATTAATGCTATTTACTTGACTCCAATGTTTTTTGTACGCTGGTAACTTCACTATTTTAATACCAACCAAAATATACGAATCCATGTCTCTGTCGCAATTGCTTGCAGCTAGCAAAGAAAGAAAAGAAAAGAAAGAGTAACATGTGAAAGCAAAAAGAAAGAAGGGATTGGAATTTTAAGAATGGATAATGGGAAGGAAGAATAGGAATGGTAAGTTAAACATTATCTAGTAATAAAACAAGAAAACTAGAATAAGATGTAACGAATGAAAATGAAAGAGGAGATAATTGGAATGAAAGTAAGGTTGATTTTGAACTGAATAATAGTTACAAAAACTCAATTAATTACCGTGTAATCACTAAAATAATTAGTGGAATTGTAAATTATTAATATAAATAATTGATTATAGAAGATTCGATGCATAAAACTTGTACTCGTAACTCATTTTCAATATTTATCGATCTCCGACGTTTTTCTTTAGTCTGGCTTTTCCTTCTTATGTAAAGCACATGGAGTCTCTATGCATTGTGCTATATAAATTTATTATTATCATTTTTAAGGGGTTTTCTGCATCAGATAGGCCTACCCACTCTACTCGACTAACCACTCTTCTTCTTGGTCTCAGGATAAGCAGCAACAATAAACAAAAACAATTTCATACACCAATTAAAATCTTTGCAAGCACGATTTTGTTTACAATTTTTATTCAGTTATTTCTGTATCTGTTATAGGTCTTATAAGCGGGCACATTTACTAAATCTGTACCCAGGGGTAACGACCTATTAATATGTAACGGGTCTTTCACCGTGTGAAAAGTGTTTTGAGACAGAATGGGAGACTAGTACAGAAAAAGATGACTACCCTTTATTATTCTTTGTTTGCGTATGACTACCATTTATTATTCTTTGTTTGCGTACTCACTACCAAGACTTCACTTCTAAACTACTATAATTTAAAGTGACTTATTCCAGCATATTAATGTCATTAGAGTTAAAATCATAATTAGGAGAGAGTATACAGTTAGTGCCGGTGAAATACACCCTTTCTTTTATACGAACCAGTAAAATTTTGCTCAGACTTATTTTTTTTTTGTTGCTGATTTCAGGCTCAAACTGTTACTTTGTTCTTATTTTTAAACACTTTTTGAACAAGAAAATTATTATTGTACAGCAATATATTACGTATTATGGTACTGCACAAAATGTATTAATTATACAATTTTTATCACATGCGTGAGTGTTGGGGTATAGGTGGCTGTCTCTGTACCTTCAGGTAGTAACACGTATGGATACATTCTCGACCTTAGCGAAAGGAAATTTCCGCCTAGTTTGCCAAGTTACTATTTGATCGTGTTCAAGGTTGTGTGGGTTTCTTTGTCGTTAATGAGCTGCAGACAGAAGCAAGTTTGACTTTTATTTAGGAGGTCGACTTCAAACTACGAGAAAGTAGATGATTAATTGTGAAAACGTAACGAAGTGTTAATAAAAAAATTCCACCACTGCCCACTGCATTGTGTTTCATTGTCCACTGCGTTTGATCTTGGTTTGATATTGTAC